TTGACATATAGTGGCTTTCTGAGGGTTTCTTAAGGGATGGATGCCAGCATGTAGTAAAATGGTTAGGAGCAGATTTTTGGCTTCATGAACATTAATCCATGAATATTCTGGCCAATGACAGAAAGCTGTGAATTCCAAGAATTTCTATGACAATTCACTATAATATTTTTTTAGTGGAAATTGATCCTGAATCACTATTACCTAGGTATTTATTTCCATTTCTATGTGTTTAAAATTAGGAAGTGAACAAAGAACTACTTGCTTTATGTTTATATAGTAGCCTGAAAGCTATAAAATAGATTACTTTTGGAAACAATAAAATCTCTCCTTCCATTTTGCCTGTCTACTGCATGCACAGATACGCACATGTACACACGCATGCACACAGAGCTATAGTATGAAAACAAGTAAAGCTTTGTGAACTGAAGATATCATATCTCTATCTATAAATGTACATCCACACGTCTACACATGGTGTGCAGGTATGTATGTGTGTTTCTCATTGTGTGTTGGAGAAAGAGAGAGGGAGGGAGGGAGGGAATAGTAATTGTGGTAATTATTTAGTAAAAATTATGCTGTGATTGTTTAATACTTCATCACTTGGGTGCTTATCAACTCATACATAATCTATTAGAAACAAAGCATGTCTGTATGAGGCTTCATATTTATGTATTCCGAAAGAAAAAGAAAAATATTACATAGAGGTGATGGATAATGTTACTTTGCTTACAATTAAGAGATGAGAGATAGCATTCTTAAGCTGTTGCCAAATTAGTGCTTAAGAACACTTTTCCTCTCAGTACAGAAAGTACTCTGTAATTTAAGTATTTTTTTCCAGATATGGAATTGCCATCTTTTCTATCTTAATTACTGGTAATATTGAAATTCATTCCCTTAAGTATATTATTTGGTCCATTATTTTTCAGATTAAAAAACTCTTCTCTCTTTAAATATACCTAGCTATATTTTATAAGCCAAATGCAAAAGTACTGTAAATGTTTCTCTTTAATGTCTGAACAGTTGTAAAGCAAATGGGACTATCATTTGAACAGTACTGTTCAATCTGACACCCACTGCAACTCAAGAGTGCTGAGTCAGATTTTAAGTAACACTGAATAAATGAAAATAATTTTTTAGTGTTTCAGAATGTATTTGTTGAATCAATAGAGCAGCTCCACAACACTGCAACTAAAGATACCAATGTGCTCACAGATACCTGTCTTTCCATAATCCTTGACCCATTTGATTGTTTACATTTCTTGCTGCTGTTGTTTTAAATGGGAAGTGGTCATGCTGCAAAGCAATTGATGTCAGTCTTCAGCATCCTCTATCTCCTTAAATATTTCTGGTCACCAAAGCTTTCTTAGGAAATGAAAATTATGGATAACTGCAGCCTAGTGGTTTAGTGCAAAGATGGCATGATAAAGGACAAAAAAGGCAGGGACCTAACAGAAGCAGAAGAGAT